GTGGTTCATTGAAATCAGTGTCCTTCTGTATCAGATCTGTTAGTGATTGTATGATATCTGAGAAGTCTCTGATGAATCTTTGATAGAAGTTGGTGAATTCTAGAAAACTTCTAGTCCCTTTTACTGAGATAGATAGACTGGCCGGTGGGACCATGAATTTCACATTTGGTTTGGTTTGGTTTGGTCCCAGTCCATTTCTTGGCATTATTTTAGTGGGACCAGGATCAGAATGGGAGTGTAAAGTGACTAGAATTATCAAAACATGAGTGAAATGGGACTAAAAAATCTTGATATTCCATGTAAAGTGACTGACTATCAAAAATAAGAACATGATCTGGGACTGATCATGATTTTGACTCAAGTTTGGTCCCATTCTGATGATTATATAATACATCAATCTGATGATATGATTGGTGGAGATATTACCCCTATCTTGCTTAGTGCTGCTGCCAACCTACCTACCGCTGCCAATCTACCTACCGCTGCCAACCTATCTATCACTGCTAATCTATCGCTGCTAATCTATCGCTGCTAATCTATCGCTGCTAATCTATTGCTGCCAACCTATCTACCGCTGCCAACCTACCTACTGCTGCCAACCTATCTATCACTGCTAATCTATCGCTGCTAATCTATCGCTGCTAATCTATCGCTGCTAATCTATCGCTGCTAATCTATCGCTGCTAATCTATCGCTGCTAATCTATCGCTGCTAATCTATCGCTGCTAATCTATCGCTGCTAATCTATCGCTGCTAATCTATCGCCGCTAACCTACCTACCGCTGCCAACCTACCTACCGCTGCCAACCTACCTACCGCTGCCAACCTATCTATCGCTGCCAACCTATATAGGGTAAATCATGGTCCCATTTGGTCCCATTTTGTAAAATGGGATCAAATGGGACCAGGATCACTAATTTATTAGTAAAACATGATCTGGGACTAGATTTATAATATAAACAGTGTAAAGTGACTAATTTGCTAAACACTATATGGGACCAGGACTAAGATATCTAATAATGGGACTGAGGAAAAATTTGGTCCCAGTCCCATGCATGGTCACACGGCCAGTCTAAAGGCAATCACATACAAAATGTATGAGCCATCTTTCTTCATTGTAGCAATAGATAGGTCCCTGAATAATATCTGCATGGAGTCATTCAAAGGGTAGTTTAGATCATATATGGGGGTGGTGAGATATTTGATTCTTTGCTTTGGCAAGATGACAAGGTTCACAGAGTTCTTTGTCTTCAGTATCATCAATCTTCACAATATCTTTGATATTGAATATCTAAACCTCTTTGACATTGATTGGTAGATGCTCCACTGCTCTCATTAAAGAGTATTCTAGTTATAGGTGGGTCGGGTTACAGCGTGTTCGAACCCGACCCTCACAATAACCTGGTTATATGCGGAGGCGCAGTCACTCAGCCATCAACGCCACTGCATATAACCTGGTTATTG